ATTGGCATTTTGATCACTGTGGTGCTGTTCATTCGCTTTAAATTGGGCTATAAAGATGATGAGAACGGATATAGATTGGAAACCAAGGAAGAACCAACTGAAATTGCACGGATAATGAATGCCGTGAAGAAGGTTTTGACAGAATCAAAGGGAGCAGTGAGAGTTATGATAACTTCTCTTGGTATCACACTGGTGGGGATTACTGAAGGAGTACCATTTCTTATTTCAATTGCAAGGGCATACTGGTATCCAATTTTTGATGTTAAGATGGAACCAGTCAACACCATCTGTATAGAAAAAATTAGATGGTTGAAAGTTACCCAGTTTCTTCTTGACAAAAAAGATGTTACCAAGATGTTAGCTGGTGGAAAGAGTTGAAAGTTACCCAGTTTCTTCTTGACAAAAAAGATGTTACCAAGATACCGCCACATGTCTACAGTGTTCTCTCTGATGGAATTGGTGTGTCCCCTCTGACTTCTCAAACAGCCTACCACAGAGTAGAAGAAGCAATACTCTGTTGGGCAGAAAAGAACACGGGTATGCAGAGAGACACTTTGGATAAGCAGTTCACCATAGTGAAGAACAACGATGATGAGATGAATCCTTTTGAAGGACCTTGTAAAGTAGTCATAGAGAAAAATGGAGATAATGGGAAAGAGTACTATTCATATTTCAAGGGTCCTACTGATTCAATATTGCCAATGTGTTCAAGTTACTATGACTTGACGGGTCAAGTGCAGGATTTGGATGACGAAACAAAGAGTGACATTGTTCAAACTAACAACAACAACAACATGAACGTAGTTGCATTTGCCTTCAAACACAGTCAGGACGTTGTTGAACTTGATGAAAATGGCCTAACATTCATTGGTATGTTTGTCTTAGAATATACTTTCAATCTAGACAACACGAGGAAAGCAATTGCGATTCTGAAAGAAGGCGGAGTGAAGATGATATTTGCCTCAGAAGAAGATGTTGAAGTGCTTCGTACCATTGTTGATGAAACAGGATTGCTCAACTCACATGAAGCTCTAGTAGTTAGGGGTGAAGATGCTACAAAGGAAAATGTTGATAAAATGTGCATTATGGGAAATTCCTCTCCCGCATGCATGCTTCTTTTAATAGAGCAATTGAAGAAAAGAGGAGAAGTTGTGGCTGTGGTAGGAGAACAAGCATCTGAAAGTAATGTGGTTCTTGAAGCAGCTCATTTTGGCCTGCCTGTGGTGACTAACTGGCCTGAAACTATAACTTATGTGATTAACAGCATCAAGGGAGGAAGAATTGTTGTGAGTATATGAGGCAGTTCATCCAAGTTGAGATAATCTTTGCAATCAGTAGCTTATTAATAAACTTCATACTGGTTATATTAGACGGAGATGGTCCGTTAACAGTCATTCAGTTGGTATGGGTTAACCTTCTTGTAAAATTTATTGGAGGGCCAGCTTTGCTAATTACTCAGCAGGCCACAAGACAACTAAGGGATGAGCTTTCTATCAGACCAAGAAAACTGCCAATTACCAAGTGCATGTTGAGAAACATACTTCTTCAAGTTTCTTATCAGACTGGTATTTTTGTATTCCTTCAACACAGAGGAAGTGCAATACTGGGGATCACTCCAAAAGTTAACAGATCTATAGTCTTTAACGGGTTCGCTCTGTGCCAGCTTTTTAACATATTCAGTGCAAGGGATTTGGAGCAGAGGAATTATTTCAAAGGTCTCGGTCAAAATTACTTGTTTTGGGCATTGTCTGGGCTCTATCTTGTGTTGCAGTTTGGATTCATTGAATTAGAGGCTTTCTTGTTTAGCAACACGGCACGACTGAATTGGAAGCAATGGGCTGAATCCATTTTAATTGGAGTTGTTACATGGTTGCTTGATGTGATAGTAAAATGGGCATCACAACACATAAAGATAGACACATATTGTGATTGTGGAGTTCTTCACCTAGCTAGAAACTGGTTACAGTGTTGGTTTATGAGGATCAATTGCTGTTACTGTGGACCAAGAAGTACACCAAATCCAACTCTTGCTTCCTTGGATTCTTCAAGATACACTAGCGGAAAGGTATTATAAAAATTTGTCCATACAGCCTAATTACAGTACAGTTCAATCAACAGTCTTTCCTAAAATTTTGGATTCAAGTTGTAGTTGTTGTTCGTTTGCAGGGCTGGATAACAAGTATTACACGTCGTGTTAAACCAACCAAGCATAGAGCTAATACTTTGATGGATTAATCATATGTTTCAGTAGCTTCAATTTTTAGTACATAGTTTCCTCTGTTTTCTATAGAAGGTTAGATATAGTTGGAGCAACACTAAAGTTGTCTCAATGTGACCGGTAGGTTATGGGTTAGAGCAGTTATGAAATCAGCCTTTGATGCTTGTATGAGGGTAGGTTGCCTACATCACACCCTTCAAGGGTCTCAGGCCTACGTCAATGAGGGATGATTAGTGCACTAGGCTATCCTTTTTAGTTAATTTATGTTAATTAATTTCATCAAGTTTTTCGGTTCTTGTTCTTGTTCCTCTTCACTTTTAACTAAATTCAAGAATGTAAACTTATTATATAGTACTACTCCCTCAATCCCTTTGTATGTCACATTTTTAATTTTTTACTTTGTATTTGTATTAAAAAATGAAGTAACTTTATCCTTATTTAATGTTTTCTTAAATCAACTCTATAATAAATGATGAATACATTTTCAAGATTAATTAACTATTCCATCAAGGGTATAATAGGAAAAATATGATAAATTTATGCATAAATTTTATAAAATGACAAGTATTGTGGTCCAGCTATTTATAGAAAGGAATGTCATATAAAAATGGACGGAGGGAGTAATATACGTAGAAAGCAAGAATTTTATGAATTTCAAACACAGCGAAGTTTGCTCAAAATCATAAAGCAAACTAGTGAGTACACATTCTACTAATTAATTGGCTTGTTCAAGAAGATAAATATTTCCAATATCATATAGTATATGCAAAAATATAACTTAATTACCTCGATCTTGTTTTTCTCAAACTTGGTGAAATGTAATAGACAAAGCTCTTGTTGAGGAGAAACTGACAAGCCGGGAATGCCATTGGAAGAGACTTTTCTTCAGCGAAGTCAACTGCCTGTGGTCGTTTCTTTACTATATAAAAAATAAAAAACAAACCTCACAAATATCCTAACATGGATTTTATAAGAATATTTTTCTTTAATTTTGGACACATTTGTCTTTTATCAAACGTGTCTTCAATAAATATTCATGTGTGAGTAGGTAATGTAGAAATGTTACTTTATCTATTTCAATTTATGTTACTAAAAACTTTTTAGTTAGTTCTGAAAATAATAATAGTTACTTTTTTTATAGATATTTTGAAATAATTTAACTTCTAAATTTTTTTTTTAAAAAAGAGAGAGAATAATTTATAATCATAGAAATATGTATGATTAACTTTAAAAGTCATTTGAAATTCATTTGTGAGTAGATAATCTTGAAAAGGTTACCATAAGGAATTTGTTACTCCATCTATTACAATTTATTAATGTTACAATTTTTTTAAGCTAGACCTGAAAATAATAATAGTATTGATACAAAAATTTAAGTTGAATGATTTTATAGATATAAAAGCTTAATTGAGTGGGTTTTTTGATACAAAATAAAGTTCAATGATTTTGCTAGACAAATTCTTGAAGTTGAGTGAACTTTTGAGATATTAACTCTAGAAAACATGTGACTACTCGTGTACATTCAAAATTAATGGACATAAATAAGAACTAGAGCCAAGTTAAAGGATACACTTATATATTATATCATTTGATAAAAGTAATTTTTATTTCCGAAGTGAAAAATAATATATAATTTTTTTTATTTTATTAATTTATAAAGTCTTCTCGAAAACATTTTCTAACATACCAAAAAGCAGCATCTTCTATAACAAATTTTTTGTGTGTGTGTGGTGATGGTGAGATCAATTTAAAAATTGTCAATATTAACGCGTTATAAAAATTAAAGAGTGTAAGGGAAAATTTGAATTTGAACAAGATGGGTGTTCACATTCCGCAACACAAAGCTGAGGCCGGGAGTGAATAACTAACCACTTGAGCATTGGAGTACTGCATGTCTATTTGAACGGGTCACGATTTAATTCATTTTCAATTTCAGTAGTGCTGATCAAAGCTAGGATGATGGATGAAGATAATGGATCAGACATTGAAGCTCAGGGGAGTTCCCCGCTGCTAATGAATGGTAATTCTACGTTGATCATGAGGAGGTTGGCTCTCATTCTCCGATCTACTTACAACTTCCATTGAAGCTGGAGCAAGAATACCATCTCTTTCACGAGTCTCATCGTCTACCTTATCCTCCACCACAACCTTTTATACTCCTCTTCCCTAAGTATATAAACAAATGTCTTTATCACTACTATATATATACACACACGTAGTTGTTAATTATACATGCTCTCCGTCTAATTAGGATGCAGAAGGTGGTGAAGATGAAATCCAGGTTGTTGAAATTGTGGCTGATGATAATACTGTACAATCAAACAATGATCACGTCGACATTGATCAAAGTACTCATCAGCAATGCCTACAAATTAGTGATTGTTTTGTTTAAGTTTGCACGAAATAGGTACAAAAGACACCTTTGGAAGAAGCAAAAAGATAACAAAGAAACGAAGAATTACCCCCTGTTGATTTCTGAAACGGACTCCAGCTTTTGTGCCTGTTTTGACAAGTTGAACAATTATATACATATTAGTGGGTTGTTGATTGGCATTTTGATCACTGTGGTGCTGTTCATTCGCTTTAAAATTGAGCCATAAAGATGACGAAAATGGATATAGATTAGAAACCAAGGAAGAACCAGCTGAAATTGCACAGAATAATGAATGCCGTGAAAAAGGTTTTAACAGAATCAAAGGGAACAGTAAGAGTTTTGATAACTTTACTTGGTGTCACACTGGTAGGGATGACTGAAGGGGTACCATTTCTTATTTCAATTACAATGGCATATTGGTATCCGAATTTTGATGTTAAAATGGAATCAGTCAGCACCCTCTGTATAGAAAATGTTGGCTGGTTGAAAGAGCAAAAACTGGAAGTTAGTCAGTTTTTCCTTGACAAAATAAATGTTACCAAGATACCGCCAGATGTCTGCAGTGTTCTCTCTGATGGAATTTGTGTGTCCACTCTGACTTCTCAAACAACTGACCAAAGAATGGAAGAACCAATACTCTGTTGGGCAGAGAAGAACATGGGTATGCAGAGAGACACTTTAGATCAGCAGTTCATAATAGTGAAGGACAATGATAGTGAGATGAATCCTTTTGAAGGACCTTGTGGAGTTGTCATAGAGAAAAATGGAGATAACGGGAAGGAGTACTATTCACACTTCAAAGGACGGGCTGATTCAATATTGTCAATGTGTTCAAGTTACTATGACATGAAGGGAGAAGTGCAGGATTTGGATGATGGAACAAAGAGTGACATTGCTCAAACTAACAACAAGAACAAGAACGTAGTTGCATTTGCCTTCAAACACACTCAGGACGTTGGTGAACTTGATGAAAATGGCCTAACATTCATTGGTATGTTTGTCTTAGAAGATAATTTCAATCTAGACAACATGAGGCAAGGAATTGAGATTCTGAAAGAAGGTGGAGTGAAGATGATATTTGCCTCGGAAGAAGATGTTGAAGTGCTTCGTGCCATTGGTGATGAAACAGGATTGCTCAACTCACATAATGCTCTAGTAGTTAAGCATGAAGATGCTACGAAGGAAAATGTTGAGAAAATTTGCATTACGGGAAATTCCTCTCCCGCACACAAGCTTCTTTTAATAGAGCAGTTGAAGAAAAGAGGAGAAGTGGTGGCTGTGGTAGGAGAACAAGCATTTGGAAGTAATGTGGTTCTTGAAGCAGCTAATTTTGGCCTGCCTGTGGTGACTAACTGGCCTGAAACTATAACTTGTGTGATTAACAGCATCAAGGGAGGAAGAATTGTTTGTGAGTATATGAGGCAGTTCATTCAAGTTGAGATAATCTTTGCAATCAGTAGCATATTAATAAACTTCATACTGGTTATACTAGACGGAGATGGCCCGTTAACAGTCATTCAGTTGGTATGGGTTAACCTTCTTGTAAAATTTATTGGAGGGCCAGCTTTGCTAATTACTCATCAGGCCATAAGACAACTAAGGGATGAGCTTTCTATCAGACCAAGAAAACTACCAATTACCAAGGGCATGTTGAGAAACATAATTTTTCAAGCTTCTTATCAGACTGTTATTTTTGTATGCCTTCCACACAGAGGAAGTGCAATACTGGGAATCACTGCGAAAGTTAACATATCTACTGTCTTTAACGGGTTTGCTCTGTGCCAGCTTTTTAACATATTCAGTGCAAGAGATTTGGAGCAGAAGAATTTTTTCAAAGGTCTTGGTTAAAATTACTTGTTTTGGGCATTGTCTTTGCTCTATCTTGTGTTGCAGTTTGGATTCATTGAATTAGAGGCTTTCTTGTTTAGCAACACGGCACGATTGAATTGGAAGCAATGGGCTGAATCCATTTTAATTGGAGCTGTTACATGGTTGCTTGATGTGATAGTAAAATGGGCATCACAATACATAAAGATAGACACATATTGTGATTGTGGAGTTCTTCACCTAGCTAGAAACTGGTTCCAGTATTGGTTTATGAGGATCAATTGCTGTTACTGTGGACCAAGAAGTACACCAAATCCAACTCTTGCTTCCTTGGATTCTTCAAGATCCACTAGCGGAAACGTATTATAAAAATTTGTCCATACAGCCTAATTATAGTACAGTTCAAACAAAAGTTTTTCCTAAAATTTTGGATTCAAGTTGTAGCTGTTGTTCTTTTGCAGGGCTGGCTAACAAATATCACACGTCGTGTTAAACCAACCAAGCATAGAGCTAATACTTTGATGGATTAATCATATGTTTCAGTAGCTTCAATTTTGAGTACATATTTTCCACTGTTTTCTATTAGATACACTTGGACCAACAATAAAGTTGTTTCCACGCGACTGGTAGGTTATGAGTTAGAGATGTACTGGAATCAGCCTCTGATGCTTGTATCAGGTAGGATGCCTACATCATACCCTTCAAAGGCATTGACCCTTCCCGGACCTACGTCAATGAGGGATGATTAGTGCAGTAGGCTGTCCTTTTTAGTTAATTTATGTGAATTAATTTCATCAAGTTTTTTGGTTCTTGTTCTTGTTCTTCTTTTTACTTTTAATTTAAATTCAAGAATGCAAACTTATTACTATATAGTACTAATATACATAGAAAGCAAGAGTTTCATGAATTTCTAACACACAGAAGTTTGCTCAAAATCATAAAGCAAACTAGTGAGTACACATTCTACTAATTGGCTCGTACAAGAAGATAAATATTTCCAATATCATAATTCATATATATGCAAAAATATAACTTAATTACCTCGATCTTATTTTTCTCAAACTTGGTGTAATGTAATAGACAAAGCTCTTGTTGAGGAGAAATTGACAAACCAGCAATGCCATTGGAAGAGAGTTTTCTTCAGCAAAGTCAACTGCCAGTGGTCGTTTCTTTACTATATAAAAATATAAAACAAAATATATGGTCCTCACAAATATACCAACATGGATTTTATAAGAATATTTTTCTTTAATTTTGGACACATTTGTCTTTTATCAAACGTGTCTTCAATAAATATTCATGCGTGAGTAGGTAATGTAGAAGATGTTACTTTATCTATTTCAATTTATGTTACAAAAACTTTTTTAGTTAGTTCTGAAAATAATAATAGTACTTTTTTTATAGATATTTTGAAATAATTTAACTTTTAAAATTTTTTTTTAAAAAAGAGAGAGAATAATTTATAATCATAGAAATATGTATGATTAACTTTAAGATCTTAAGTTTAAAAGTCATTTGAAATTCATTTGTGAGTAGATAGTCTTGAAAAGGTTACCATAAGGAATTTGTTACTCCATCTATTACAATTTATTGATGTTACAAATTTTTTTAGCTAGTCCTGAAAATAATTATAGTATTCCTCCATTTCAATTTATGTGACACATTTTGGATTTCGAGATTCAAACAAGTCTATCTTTGATCGTAAAATTTTCTTATATCTTTTAAATATTTCGAATTGTCAATTATTGGACTTATAGTACTTTTTACGTAACTTATAAATATATAAATTTCATTTTAAAAAAGTGAAGATTTCATGAGCAAATTATTGGTCAAACTTAAAACTAGTTGACTTTCAAAAAACGAAATGTGTCACAGAGGGAGTACTTTTTCTATAGATATTTTAAGATAATTTAACTTATAAAAATTATGTTCTAAGAAAGTAAAATAATAAGTAATTTATAATCATAGAGAAATTTGACTGTAAAATTTTTGAATTTTTTAAAATTTGAAAAATATCAAAAAAATATTTTCACTCCAAATTACTTATAAAAATTCAAAAGCAACTTCAATTTGTATTCATGACCACACACTTTTGAGGAGTGTTTAACCATGAAAATAGTGAGTATTTGATTATTATTATTTTTATATTAATGTGTTCTTTAACTTGATCTCAGTTTGCATCTATGTTCTCCAACTTCTGGTGTGTATAAGTAGACACTTAAACTAGTATAAAGTCAAACAAGTAGACGCAAGTGTCCTACATGACATAATACATTCAATTTTAATTCAATTTGCTCATTTAACACTGAGAAAATTAAGTAATACAAATAGTTTAATGAAAGTTGTAATATATTATAAGCCTATACACCAACAAACCTTCCCACAGTAGCCTATTTGAGGAAATTTTTTATGGTGGAGGCATATCATATTGTCACATTTGTATGAGGAAATTTTTTAATTGAAAAATTTGTCTCACTCTATTATAACTTTTTTCTCTTCTCACTACTCCACCTTCACCTTCTTCCATTTGCCCCTCGCGCTAACATAAAATACTTTTTTATTTTTTAAATGTAATTTACATATATTTCATTGAGTAAATTACAATAATTTAATGACAAAATCAAGTCACAGTGAAAACTAGTTAATGTCCTTGAAATGTATGACAAAATCAAGGCACATAGTCAAAAGTAGTACTACTATGCTTAAATTAATATTTTGTTCTTTTTTCTCTCTAACATCACTTATCCAATCCCTTTCTCTTATGTATTTTGTTTCTCCTTTTTTTCATAAACTTGATTTTCATTTGTTAAAAATCAGATAGAGATAAATACATTAATACTAATTCAAATAACTAATAAACATGTTTAAAAAAGAATTAATCAAAAAGTATGTTCTTGACCTCGTATAAATTTGACTGTATCATTTGTAGAGTAAAATAATGGAGTGAGACCCACTCCATTATGCAATGAAATTATGTGTTAATAAATTAAAATTATTGGATGTTAGCTGGAGGTGTAAATGGGAGAAGGTGAGGGTTGAAGAGTAACAAGATAAAATGACAAGTTGTAACTGAGTAAGAGCCTGTTTGGCATTATTGCTAAAAGCGACTTATTTTTAGAAGCGTTTTTTAAAAATAGCTTTTCAGAAAAATGTTTTTCAAAAAAAGCAATCTGTGTTTGAAAAATTCATTTAAAAGTGTTTTTGATAAACAATTTGTGTTTGAAGAGTAAGAAGATAAAATGAAGTAACGGAGTAAGACCCACAATATATATTTTCTCAATTAAAGAAATCGCTCACAGCTGTAACTTTTTTTTTTTTTGAGAATTTACAGCACTAGACAAAGTGTCTAATAACTTTAAGAAAGGGGTTAGGCCTTTACCACCATAATATTTTTTTCCTCTAGTTGTGTATGTCGGAATTAACAAGCATTTCACTTACTAGAAAATTTAGCACAATCTTCAATCGTTAGTCACAAAGTAACGTCGACATATTCAAGTTATATTATTATAATTAAAGTAATGTTAATTGTTTCTTGTTCAAATTCTAACATGTGAAATAAATAGGTTGATGCCTGTTATAGTTGTCATCCTCTGTTTGAAGGACTAGAATATTAATTCAAAATGACTTAATTTCTGTAAGATAATCTTAAGTATGACCTTTGTTGTAGATAGTGCTTGGAAGTTGCCTTTGATTTTCCCCTCTATGTAACTTGTATTAGAGATTCTATTTCAAGTATGACAGCCGTACTTATCACAAAAATAAGTGTTTTTTTATTTTATACTAAATCCCCAAAAAATTAGTGTGCTTGTACTGCGACACTAAGTGTAGAATATAGCTAGAATGATGAATGAAGATAATGGATCAGACATTGAAGCTCAGGGGAGTTCGCCGCTGCTAATGAATGGTAATTCTACGTTGATCATGAGGAGGTTGGCGCTCTTTCTCCAATCTACTTACAAGTTCATTGAAGCTGGAGCAAGAATACCATCTCTTTCTCGAGTCTCATCCTCCACCACAACCTTTTATACTCCTCTTCCCAGCTTTAATCTTAAACATGGAGTAAGTATATAAACAAATGTCTTTATGGCTAATATATATACACACATAGTTATTAATTATATATGCTCTCTGTCTAATTAGGATGCGGAATGTGGTGACGATGAAATCCAGGTTGTTGAAATTGTGGCTGATGATAATACTGTACAATCAAACAATGATCACATCGACATTGATCAAAGTACTCATCAGCAATGCCTACAAATTAGTGAAGAGATTGTGAAGGAGAAGAAGTTGGATTGGAGTGATATTCATGATGTTGACAAGGGAATTCATGTTGGAGACAATTCTGGTCGTCACATGCTGATCTTCACAGGGTACATCATCCGACAATTGGCATGCAAGGAACCGACTATTTTTCTCCTTGCAATTGCTGCAATATTGTCGTTTGCCTTTGGAATCAAAGAAGAAGGTGTGCATAATGGTTGGTTTGAAGGAGCACTTCTGGTTGTGATTATACTTGTGATTGTTTCGTTTAAGTTTGTACGAAATTGGTACAAAAGACACCTTTGGAAGAAGCAAAAAGATAACAAAGAAACGAAGAATTACCCCCTGTTCATTTCTGAAACGGACCCCAGCTTTTGTGCCTGTTTTGACAAGTTGAACAATTATATACATATTAGTGGGTTGTTGATTGGCATTTTGATCACTGTGGTGCTGTTCATTCGCTTTAAATTGGGCCATAAGGATGACGAAAATGGATATAGATTAGAAACCAAGGAAGAACCAGCTGAAATTGCACAGAATAATGAATGCCGTGAAAAAGGTTTTAACAGAATCAAAGGGAACAGTAAGAGTTCTGATAACTTTACTTGGTGTCACACTGGTAGGGATGACTGAAGGGGTACCATTTCTTATTTCAATTACAATGGCATATTGGTATCCGAATTTTGATGTTAAAATGGAATCAGTCAGCACCCTATGTATAGAAAATGTTGGCTGGTTGAAAGAGCAAAAACTGGAAGTTAGTCAGTTTTTTCTTGGCAAAAAAAATGTTACCAAGATACCGCCAGATGTCTGCAGTGTTCTCTCAGATGGAATTTGTGTGTCCACTCTGACTTCTCAAACAACCGGCCAAAGAATGGAAGAACCAATACTCTGTTGGGCAGAGAAGAACATGGGTATGCAGAGAGACACTTTAGATCAGCAGTTCATAATAGTGAAGGACAATGATAGTGAGATGAATCCTTTTGAAGGACCTTGTGGAGTTGTCATAGAGAAAAATGGAGATAACGGGAAGGAGTACTATTCACACTTCAAAGGACGGGCTGATTCAATATTGTCAATGTGTTCAAGTTACTATGACATGAAGGGAGAAGTGCAGGATTTGGATGACGAAACAAAGAGTGAATTTGCTCAAGCTAACAACAACAATGTGAACGTAGTTGCATTTGCCTGCAAACGTACACAGGTTGTTGAACTTGATGAAAATGGCCTAACATTCATTGGTATGTTTGTCTTAGAAGATAATTTCAATCTAGACAACATGAGGCAAGGAATTGAGATTCTGAAAGAAGGTGGAGTGAAGATGATATTTGCCTCGGAAGAAGATGTTGAAGTGCTTCGTGCCATTGGTGATGAAACAGGATTGCTCAACTCACATGATGCTCTAGTAGTTAGGGGTGCAGATGCTACGAAGGAAAATGTTGAGAAAATTTGCATTATGGGAAATTCCTCTCCCACACACAAGCTTCTTTTAATAGAGGAGTTGAAGAAAAGAGAAGTGGTGGCTGTGGTAGGAGAACAAGCATCTGAAAGTAATGTGGTTCTTGAAGCAGCTCATTTTGGCCTGCCTGTGGTGACTAACTGGCCTGAAACTATAAATTATGTGATTAACAGCATCAGGGGAGGAAGAATTGTTTGTGAGAATCTGAGGCAATTCATCCAAGTTGAGGTAATCCTGGCAATCAGTAGCTTATCAATAAACTTCATACTGGTTATATTAGACGGAGATGCCCCGTTAACATTCATTCAGTTGGTATGGGTTAACCTTCTTGTTACATTTATTGGAGGGCCAGCTTTGCTAATTACTCAACAGGCCACAAGAGAACTAAGGGATAAGCTTTCTATCAGACCAAGAAAACTGCCAATTACCAAGGGCATGTTGAGAAACATACTTCTTCAAGTTTCTTATCAGACTGGTATTTTTGTATTCCTTCAACACAGAGGAAGTGCAATACTGGGCATCACTCCAAAAGTTAACAGATCTATAGTCTTTAACGGGTTCGCTCTGTGCCAGCTTTTTAACATATTCAGTGCAAGGGGATTTGGAGCAGAGGAATTATTTCAAAGGTCTCGGTCAAAATTACTTGTTTTGGGCATTGTCTGGGCTCTATCTTGTGTTGCAGTTTGGATTCATTGAATTAGAGGCTTTCTTGTTTAGCAACACGGCACGACTGAATTGGAAGCAATGGGCTGAATCCATTTTAATTGGAGCTGTCACATGGTTGCTTGATGTGATAGTAAAATGGGCATCACAATACATAAAGATGGTCAAATATTGTGACCCTGGAGTTCTTCACCTAGGTAGAAACTGGTTACAGGATTGGTTTGCCAGAGTCAATTGCTGGGACAGTGGACAAAGTAGCACACCAAATCCAACTCTTGCTTCTTTGGATTCTCCAAGATCCTCTAGTGGAAAGGTACTATACAAATTTATCCATACTGCCTAATTACAGAAAATTCAAAGAGTCTTTTCCTTTTATTCCTAAAACAATTTGGATTCAAGTTGTAGTTGTTCTTTTGCAGGGCTGGATAACAAATATAACACGTCGTGTTAAACCAACCAAGGATAGAACTAATACTTTGATGGATTAATCATATGTTGCAGTAGCTTTAATTTTTAGTATAAATTTTTCACTGTTTTATTTATAGGGATTAGATACACCTGCAACAACAGTAAAGTTGTCTCCATGTGACCTATAGGTTACGGGTTCGAACCATACTGGAATCAGCGGACCTAGTCAATGCAGGATGATTAAGGCACTAGGCTACCCTTTTTAGTCTGTATGGGCTAGTTAATTTATGTTAATTCATTTCGTCAAGTTTTTGGTTTCTCGTATGCATTGGATGGAGATAAAAAAAAAAGGTTTGTTCTTGTTCTCTCGTTCTTCTTCTTTTCACTTTTAACTAAATTCAAGAATGCAAACTTACTATATAGTACTAATATATACAAAAAGCAAGATTTTTATGAATTTCAAACACATGGAAATTTGCTCAAAATCATAAAGGAAGCTAGTCAGTACACATGATTCTACCAATTGGCTCGTGCAAGAAGATAAATAATTAAATATCATATAATATGCAAAAATATAACTTAATTACCTCGATGCATATTTTCTTCAACTTGCTGTAATGTATTAGACAGAGCTCTTGTTGAGGAGAAACTGACAATCCAGCAATGCCTCTTTCTTTGTTGTATTTTCATCCGCTAAACTTAGTAGAAAATGCACGATGACTCGCAAAAATATTTTACAGAAATAATTAGTACAAATAATTAACATCTAGAAGGTTGGAACAACAAAAATGTACTTGGACATTAAAAAATAATAATTCTAAAATGCAATGAAACAATTAACATCTAGGTTTGAAGGTAGAATTGTTCAAACTTCACCCATATATCCCCAATTTTTAACTCCAATCACACGTATGAATATGTGCGCGTGTTTTTGTTGTTAGTTGTATTTACTAATTACTATGTAGGGAAAAATGTTTGAAATATATTCAAACTTTGACCGAAATTGCTGTAATAATATCGAACTTTGGAAAGGATCGTTTATCCCTGCACTATTTAATAGTGTATTTTAAAGGTATATATGTGCTCATGTGAACATCATAAATATTGCATAATTATAAATAGTAACGTGTCCACGTGGGCACATATATACCTTTAAAATACAATATTAAATAGTGTAGGAGGGTAAAAGGTCCTCCATAAGGTTTGGTATCATAACAACAATTTCGGCCAAAGTTAAAGTATTTTTCAGACCCTTTTCCCTACTAGATATGTATATGAGGGCAAGATCAATTGATATATGTATGTATACCCTATTGTTACATGTAAGTCTACCATTATTGATCGAGTCCACTCAATGAAATGAAAAGAATTTTTAAATAATTTTTTATTTCTACCCTTAATATTAATTAACTGCATAAAATAATAGTAGTCAAATTTAATAACGATCATAAAAATAATATTAAACTTTGTGATAAATTCATAAAAATATTATTCTATTTATAATATTAATGAACTTAAAGAAAATTTTTATAAATAGTTAGGTTAAAAAATAAATTATATATAAAAGAGGTATTACATATATGTGATATAACAAGGGTAAAAAGAATAATGCATAGAGTATAGGGGGAGTTTGATGATTGTTTAAAATTGAGGAAAAGTTTGATTTTTAAAGCAAAGTTGGAGGGTGAATATATATATTTTTTTTCAAATACTGGTGGACAAAAATGTGTGTGTGGGGTGAAGTGGTGATGGTGGGATCAAATGAAAAATTGTGAATACCGCGTTATAAAAACGAACCAGCGTTGGGAAATTGTTTTGGACAAAATGAGTATTAACATTTCGCGACACAAAGCTGAGAAAAACTAAACACTTGATTAGCATAATTACCTAGGAGAAATTTCTAGGAAGCTGCATTTCACCACTTGTTTAGAAAGTAGAAATGAGAAAATAAGTTCCACAATGTAGTTTGACGAACTGAGTAATACAAACCTTCGTCAAAAAAGCACCTATAATTTAACAAGCATTTCACTTGCTAAAAAAATTAGCAAAGATTCAATCGTTAATCATAAAGTAGCGTCGACAGATTCAGATAGATTATAGTATAATAAAAACAATATTAATTGTTTCTGGTTCACGTTTTAACATTTGAAATTTGTAACTTTCAAATAAATTATAGGTTTGCATATTATACTTTTAACTATATATATTATTATTGTCGTCTTGAAGTTTGAAGGACCGAGAATATTAATTCAAATTGACTTAAGTCATTTATAAGGGATGCATGACATTGTTGGTGATGTCATGCCTTAAGAAAAAAACGTTGATGGAACAGCGCAGGGTGGTGCTAGGAAGCTCCCTTTCCTCCCCTCTCTCTATATTTTTACGATCCTTTTCAATGATCATACTAGCTAATCACAACAAAGTGCTTTCTTATTTTATACTAGCTAGATCTTAAAAAAGAATTAGTAGTGTGCACGTACGGCGACAGTACTAGCTAGTAGTGATCGAAGGTCAGATAAGTATAATATACAGCTAGCTAGGATGATGGAGGTGGATCATGAAGATAATGGAACAGACATTGAAGCTCAGCGGAGTTCTCCGTTGTCAATGAATGGTACTGAATTAAGTAATTCTAGTTTGATCATCATGAGGAGGTTGGCGTTCATTTTCCTATCTATTTACAAGTTCATTGAAGCTGGAGCAAGCATAGCATCATCTCTTTCACCAGTGTCATCGTCGTCCTCAACATCCAACACAACCTTTTATACTCCTCATACCAGCTTGAATCTTGAACATGGAGTATGTATATCATCACAACCTTTCAATTTCATTTGTTTTAGGAGTATTGACTCCATATTTTACATTTTTAAGTTAGACTTGATAAATTATATAATTTTATATTTATAGTATTATTCTTTTTATCAAACATGCATTTTATGAAATTATGTACTTTTTGTTTTTATGATTAGTATAATTAAAATATACTAAATTGAAAAATACAAATCAATTAGTTTTTATAATATTAGTCAAGAACATATGTTTATTAATTAATATATTTTCAAAAGACAATATATATCTTAAATATTCAATTTAATATCATTTATAAAGGGCATTATTAGTCTAATATAAATTTTAATTTTAATTTTTAAAATTCAATATAACCTTATGATTACACTTGTGCAATAAAACATTACACTTGTAATTAGGGGTGTGCATTCGGTTTTACAGTTTGGATTTGTACTATTTGGTTTGGATTTTTCGGTTTTTGATTTTGAAGAAGTGTAACCCAATCCGAATCAAAATAAATTTGGTTTGGTTTGGTATTTTTCCTTTTGGTTTGAGTTTTTTCGGTTCGATTAATCGGTTATGTCGATAATTAGAAACATAACAAAGTTATATTTGTAATTTGAATATATATAGTTTTTTTGGTTTCTTTTTTCTAAATCTGAAACCAAACCAAAAAAACAAACAAAATAAATCATAGATTCAAAACCGAATCAGAAATCCAAAAAATCAATCCAAATTAGAATTCGATTTGATTTGGTTTGATTTTTCTGTTTAATTCAAAATAGTGCATACCCCTACTTGTAATTACACTGTGGCAAACAAACAAATCAGCGTAATTACTAGATTGTGTAATTTACTAGGCTGGTAATTACTACAATAATAATTACCCCAATTCCAATCACTCAGTGGCTTTCCAAACATACTATTACATATTTCTTAACATCTAGTATTTAGAACATTATCTTTTTCCTATTCCAACTATATCATTGATTTGTCCCTCTAAGTTTTTATTGTTACAAGAGTTACATTTATGGCATAGTCTTTATCCATAATATTATAATCGATTAGATAATTAACTGTCACTTGTAATTTATAGATGAATACAGTCACTTTATAACTCTTTCGTTTAAAATTAAGTTAGGAGGTGAAAATGTTGTGAAAATATTTTAATTACTCTATATTTAACTTATTAGATATTTATAACATTTTTAATTATGATAGGGGTAAAATGGTATTTCAACTTTACTTTTGTGGCTTCGTGTTAAATAATAACAAAAGTCTCACATTGATGGTTAATGAGATTAGTGATCTCTTTATAAGCTTGGTCAATCATCCTCTCTTTAATCTAGCTTTTAGGGTGTGAGTAAAGTCCAAGACCTAATTTTCACACTTCTCACTCTTATAGTATGACTAGTATTTGGGCACGTGCGGTGCGCGTATATCCCTTACCAGTGAGCATAAGTATTTTTCAAAATTGCATCAATATGATAAATATATTCAAAAATCAATGACATCCAATGTCTAAAATGTCCAACTTTGAAGATTCTTAATTAGTACTAAATTGATTTTAATTTGAATTTATGAGTTAAAATTTGATATGAATTTGTCAAATTTTAGTAGTTTTTATATAGATATTATGTTTTGATTTAAAAAATAATTAAGTTAATTAAATCCATAAATTATAGGCTTAATATGCTCATATCATCAATTAACCGTTGTCCTACCTCCAAAATCAATATTACATTTCTAAACGAAATTCATTTGATGCGACTCAACGCAATTATAATATTTTTTGTAGTTAGAAAAGGAATTCAACATTTCATTTATATTTTGTCGACTGTATTGTTAACATTGTAATTGAGAAACAAAAAGACATGTATTGTTTTATGTTGTCAAAAAAAAGAAGAAACAAAAAGACATGATAAAAAATAATATTATGACATGTGAGTGATAAGTAATATAAATTCTGAAGGAGAAAGGGAGGGATAAACTATGGCTCAAATAACTAAAATAATCAACGAAAATTAAAACAAAGAAAGTTAATATAATTTCGTGAGAAAAATAACCAAAAGATGATATTGTATTCATTCCTTTCTTTCTTAACATGGGTTGTTTATCCTCCCTCTTCTTTCTTTTTGGATGAAAGCTCCATTAAAAAAATTAAATTCAGACAAAGAAAGTGAAGTCAAATAGGCAATGAATATCAAATCACTCAACATGCCATAGCTCATAAATACATTTTTTACTTTTATTGGGTTATGACGATTAATATCAAAATTCAATACTTAATTAGCTTTACACACAAATAAATCACACGAATCTGCATATGAAAATTCAATAAACTTGACCTACTATTGACAAAATAAAAATAAAAAAGAAAAGAAAAACCAAACAAAGAATATTGTGCTAACAAAAAAATTATGTTAGAAGGAAATGTCACTTACCCCATTTGTATCGACACAACTCAAAGTACAGTTCTATGCGATTGACACAGAAGCATCTCATCAATTGATTTTTTCTGCAACAAAAAAAATCATCTCATACGCTATTGACACAAAATTAAAAATTTTATTTTATATCAGAGATCAAAATCTTAAACATCAATCAAACAACATAAACTATATGATAAGTAAGAAGTAAGAAACAAAATAAAAAATAACTTAAAAGAACATACACATGAATGGAGCACCGGAAAGGACAATGTTCCTATGCTCTCTATCAAACTCATAAAACAAAATGTAACGAACAAGACGATATACATATGTGAAATGAAAAGACAAGGATCATAGTGGAGAATGTAAAGAGACAAGAGTTTCTTTAGAAGATTATTAATGAATAATTGTCTTTTAATGTATCTATTTTATGTAAGAATATATATTTTAAGTACAATATAATATGTGATATGATTACTATTTAATATTTTATAACATTTTTATTTAATATAGGGGCAAAATGGTAATCCAACATTGTATTTGATGCTTCCCACTTTTAATAATATATGATATGATATGATATGATAATAATATATATATATATTTATTTCATATGGATAAAGCAATTTCAGAAATGAAACAAGTATATCTGCATACTAGTCATAGCTATGATGCTATAATATTTTCAATACATGAAATATATATATATATATATATATATATTGATAATAATAATTTGAGGGATTATATATGCTTTCTGTCTACTCAGAACTCTGAAGGTGGTGGAGATGATAGTACTGTACAATCAAACAATGAGATTGAGTTTCAGCCTCATGATCAGAGTACTCATCAGCAATGCTTAAAAATTAGTGAAGAGGTTGTGAAGGAGAAAAAGTTGGATTGGAGTGATACTCGTGATGTTGACAAGGGAATTCATGTTGCAGACAATTCTGGTCGTTACATGCTGATCTATGCCCAGTTCATGATCCGACAACTGATATGTAAGGAACCAACTATTTTGCTCCTTGCAATTGCTGCAATATTGTCGTTTATCTTTGGAATCAAAGAAGAAGGTGTGCAGAATGGTTGGTTTGAAGGAGCACTTCTGGTTGTGATTATATTTGTGATTGTTTCGTTTAAGCTAGCACGTAATTGGTACAAAAGACACATTTGGAATAAGCAAAATGAGAACAGAGCAAGGAAGGACCAGCCGTTTATTTCTGAAACGGACTCCAGTTTTTGTGCCGACTTTGACAAGTTGAACAATTACATACATATTAGTGGGCTGTCCATTGGCATTTTGATCACTGTGGTGCTGTTCATTCGCTTTAAATTGGGCTATAAAGATGATGAGAACGGATATAGATTGGAAACCAAGGAAGAACCAACTGAAATTGCACGGATAATGAATGCCGTGAAGAAGGTTTTGACAGAATCAAAGGGAGCAGTGAGAGTTATGATAACTTCTCTTGGTATCACACTGGTGGGGATTACTGAAGGAGTACCATTTCTTATTTCAATTGCAAGGGCATACTGGTATCCAATTTTTGATGTTAAGATGGAACCAGTCAACACCATCTGTATAGAAAAAATTAGATGGTTGAAAGTTACCCAGTTTCTTCTTGACAAAAAAGATGTTACCAAGATACCACCACATGTCTACAGTGTTCTCTCTGATGGAATTGGTGTGTCCCCTCTAACTTCTCAAACAGCCTACCACAGAGTAAAAGAAGCAATACTCTGCTGGGCAGAAAAGAACACGGGTATGCAGAGAGACACTTTGGATAAGCAGTTCACCATAGTGAAGAACAACGATGATGAGATGAATCCTTTTGAAGGACCTTGTAAAGTAGTCATAGAGAAAAATGGAGATAATGGGAAAGAGTACTATTCATATTTCAAGGGTCCTACTGATTCAATATTGCCAATGTGTTCAAGTTACTATGACTTGACGGGTCAAGTGCAGGATTTGGATGACGAAACAAAGAGTGACATTGTTCAAACTAACAACAAGAACATGAACGTAGTTGCATTTGCCTTCAAACACAGTCAGGACGTTGTTGAACTTGATGAAAATGGCCTAACATTCATTGGTATGTTTGTCTTAGAATATACTTTCAATCTAGACAACATGAGGCAAGGAATTGCGATTCTGAAAGAAGGCGGAGTGAAGATGATATTTGCCTCAGAAGAAGATGTTGAAGTGTTTCGTACCATTGTTGATGAAACAGGATTGCTCAACTCACATGAAGCTCTAGTAGTTAGGGGCGAAGATGCTACAAAGGAAAATGTTGATAAAATGTGCGTTATGGGAAATTCCTCTCCCGCATGCATGCTTCTTTTAATAGAGCAATTGAAGAAAAGAGGAGAAGTTGTGGCTGTGGTAGGAGAACAATCATCTGAAAGTAATGTGGTTCTTGAAGCAGCTCATTTTGGCCTGCCTGTGGTGACTAACTGGCCTGAAACTATAACTTATGTGATTAACAGCATCAAGGGAGGAAGAATTGTTTGTGAGTATATGAGGCAGTTCATCCAAGTTGAGATAATCTTTGCAATCAGTAGCTTATTAATAAACTTCATACTGGTTATATTAGACGGAGATGGTCCGTTAACAGTCATTCAGTTGGTATGGGTTAACCTTCTTGTAAAATTTATTGGAGGGCCAGCTTTGCTAATTACTCAGCAGGCAACAAGACAACTAAGGGATGAGCTTTCTATCAGACCAAGAAAACAGCCAATTACCAAGGGCATGTTGAGAAACATACTTCTTCAAGTTTCTTATCAGACTGGTATTTTTGTATTCCTTCAACACAGAGGAAGTGCAATACTGGGGATCACTCCAAAAGTTAACAGATCGATAGTCTTGAACGGGTTCGCTTTGTGCCAGCTTTTTAACATATTCAGTGCAAGGGATTTGGAGCAGAGGAATTATTTCAAAGGTCTCGGTCAAAATTACTTGTTTTGGGCATTGTCTGGGCTCTATCTTGTGTTGCAGTTTGGATTCATTGAATTAGAGGCTTTCTTGTTTAGCAACACGGCACGACTGAATTGGAAGCAATGGGTTGAATCTATTTTAATTGGAGCTGTTACATGGTTGCTTGATGTGATAGTAAAATGGGCATCACAATACATAAAGATAAGCAAATATTGTGACTGTGGAGTTCTTTACCCAGCCAGAAATTGGTTACAGAATTGGTTTGCCAGAATCAACTGTTGTGACAGTGGACCAACAAGTACACCAAATTCCACCCTTGTTTCCTTGGATTCTTCAAGATCCACTAGCGGAAAGGTACTGTAAAAATTTATCCATACTGCCTAATTACAGTACAGTTCAAACAAAAGTCTTTCCTAAAATTTTGGATTCAAGTTGTAGTTGTTGTTCTTTTGCAGGGCTGAATAACAAATAAATATTACACGTCGTGTTAAACCAACCAAGCATAGAGCTAATACTTTGATGGATTAATCATATGTTTCAGTAGCTTCAATTTTATTTATCCATACTGCCTAATTACAGTACAGTTCAAACAAAAGTCTTTCCTAAAATTTTGGATTCAAGTTGTAGTTGTTGTTCTTTTGCAGGGCTGAATAACAAATAAATATTACACGTCGTGTTAAACCAACCAAGCATAGAGCTAATACTTTGATGGATTAATCATATGTTGCAGTAGCTTTAATTTTTAGTACATAGTTTCCTCTGTTTTCTATAGAAGGTTAGATATAGTTGGAGCAACACTAAAGTTGTCTCGATGTAACCGGTAGGTTATGGGTTAGAGAAGTTATGAAATCAGCCTTTGATGCTTGTATCAGGTAGGCTGCCTACATCACACCTTTCAAGGGTATCAAACCTACGTCAATGAGGGATGATTAGTGCACTAGGGTATCCTTTTTAGTTAATTTATTTTAATTAATTTCATCAAGTTTTTCGGTTCTTGTTCTTGCTCTTCTTCACTTTTAATTAAATTCAAGAATGTAAACTTATTACATAGTACTACTCCCTCAATCCCTTTTTATATGTCACATTTTTACTTTGTACTTGCATTGAGAAATGATATAACTTTACCCTTCTACCCTTATTTAATGTTTTCTTAAGTTAACTTTATAATAAATGATGAATACATTTTCAAGATTAATTAACTACTGTAACAAGAGTATAATAGGCAAAATATAGTAATTTAAGCATAAATTTTATAAAATGATAAGTATTATGGTCCAGCTATTTATAGAAAGGAATGTCATATATAAAGAGACGAAGGGAGTAATATACATAGAAAGCAAGAATTTTATGAATTTCAAACACAGGGAAGTTTGCTCAAAATCATAAAGCAAACTAGTGAGTACACATTCTACTAATTAATTGGCTTGTTCAAGAAGATAAATATTTCCAATATCATATAGTATATGCAAAAATATAACTTAATTACCTGGATCTAGTTTTTCTCAAACTTGGTGAAATGTAATAGACAAAGCTCTTGTTGAGGAGAAACTGACAAGTCGGAAATGCCATTGGAAGAGACTTTTCTTCAGCGAAGTCAACTGCCTGTGGCCGTTTCTTTACTATATATAAAAAATAAAAAACAAACCTCACTAATATCCCAACATGGATTTTATAAGAATATTTTTCTTTAATTTTTGACACATTTGTCTTTTATCAAACGTGTCTTCAATAAATATTCATGTGTGAGTAGGTAATTCGGAAAATATTACTTTATTTATTTCAATTTATGTTACAAAAAAACTTTTTTAGTTAGTTCTGAAAATAATGATTGTACTTTTTTATAGATATTTTGAAATAATTTAACTTGTAAAAATCTTGTTTCAGAGTATTGCATATCTATTTGGACGGGTCATGATCTAATTTAATTTCTATTTTAATTTATTTTAAAATCTTCAATTTCAATTCAACTCGCTCATTTAACATCTTTACCTAGAAGCCTCATAGGAAGTTTCATTTCACCCATGTTTGGAAAGTAGAAATGAGAAAATTAAGTAATACAAATAGTTTAATGAAAGTTGTAATATAATAGAATTTTTTATCAAAGTAAGCCATTATTTAAATCAATTCACTATAATAATATGTTTTTTTTGAAATTTTACAAAACTAGAATAAACATATTTGATAGTAACGTTTTAGGTATTATTTTATTAAAAAAAAATCTATGGCAAAAAGACAAATTATCTGACAGATAAACAAACATAAAATGTTACTGTCAAATACGTTTTATTAATTCGTTACTCACGAATATGTTTTAAGGCAAAAACGTTACTGACAGTAACGACTCTTTAATAACACAAGAATAGTTTAAGTCTCAAAAGCCAACTTGCTTTACAAATAGAGTAATTAGTAGCAAAAAAGAACTGAATAATAACACAAGAATAACTTACTATTTTTACATGTAAATTGCAGAAAGAAACGGAAAAAGAATGAGAAAAAAGCGAAAAGACTATATGGGCAAATACTTACTTGAAGTCATTTAGACCTACAGGTTTTCAAAGGCAAGCTAAGGCTGATGATGGAAAATATAGAACTTGGTCATGTTAATCCTTAATTTTGACTAGATAAAAATTAAAAATCTAATACGAAAGGAAGTCTTGGAAAGAGGAATAAGTTCTTGCTAAATACAAGAGATAATTTAATAGTAATAAGGTGTATGGTGGCAGTAACCAATGGAGTAAAAATTGTCAATACAGTCGGTAACCTTTTAACCTTATAAGGTGTGCATGATTGGATTCTAAAGAGTTGGTAACGTTTTAGCCTTAAAACGTGTGTACGAGTAACAAATTAATATAACGTATTTGACAGTAACGTTTTATGCTTGGTTACTATGTCAGACAATTGTATTTTTGCCATTAATATTTTTTTAATAAAATAATACCTAAAACGTTACTGCCAAATACGTTTATTTTGTAAAATTTCAAAAAAATATCTTGTTTTGATAAATTAATTTAAATAATGGCTTACTTTGATAAAAAATTCTAATAAGCTTATACACCAACAAGCCTTCCCACAGTAGCCTATTTGAGGAAACATTTTATGGTGGAGGCATATCACATTGTGACATTTGTACGAGGAAGTTTTTTAATTGAAAAATGTGTCTCACTCTATTACAACTTTTTTTCTCTTCTCACCTCTCCACCTTCAATTTCTTCCATTTTGCCCTCCCTCTAACATAAAATACTTTTTTTAAAAAAATAAATTATTAACATATATTTCATTGAGTAAATTACAATAATATAATGACAAATCAAGTCACAGTGAAAACTGGTACTAATGTCTTGAAATGTATGAAAAATCAAGGCACATAGTAAAAAAGTAGTACTACTATGCTTAAATTAATATTTTGTTCTTTTCTTCTTTTTTCTCTCTAACATCACTTATCCAATCCCACTCTCTTGTGTATTTTGTTTCTCTTTCTTTTTTAGACTCAATTTTCATTTGTCAAAAACCAAATAGAGATAAATTGATTAATACTAGGCAATTCAGATTTAAATTCAAACAACTAATAAAATGTCTAAAAAAGAATTAATCAAAACATACGCTCTTGACCTCATATAAATTTGACTATATCATTTGTAGAGTAAATATAATTGGACACTCCATTATGCAATGAAATTATGTGCAAATAAATTAAAATTATTCGATGTTAGCTGGAGGGGTAAATTAAAGTAATGTTAATTGTTTCTTGTTCAAGTTTTAACATGTGAAATAAATAGGTTGATGCCTGTTATACTTTTTACTATTGTCATCCTAGAATATTACTAATTCAAAATGACTTAATTTCTGTAAGATAATCTCGAGGCATGACGTTTGTTGTAGATAGTGCTTGGAAGTTTTCCTCCTATGTACCTTTTGTGAGATCCTTTTCAATCATCTATTCTGTCTCAACTGTACTTATCACAAGAAAGCCGTACTTATCACAAGAAAGAAAGAGTGTTTTTTGTTAAATTAGGTCTTAGGTCTAACTCACACCCCAAAAGCTAGCTCAAAGGGAGGAGGATTGCCCAAGCCTTATAACCCATCTCATTAACCACCGATGTGGGAGTTTTGTCATTCTTTAACACTTTTCTATTTTATACTAAATCCCCCAAAAAAACTAGTGTGCAGCGTAGTGCTGATCAAAGCTAGGATGATGGATGAAGATAATGGCTCAGACATTGAAGCTCAGCGCTGTTAATGAATGGTGAATTAGGTAAATCTAGTTTGATCATGAGGAAGTCGGTGCTCATTATCAAATCTACTTACAAGTTCATTGAAGCTGGAGCAAGAATACCATCTCTTTCTCGAGTCTCATCCTCCACCACAACCTTTTATACTCCTCTTCCCAGCTTTAATCTTAAACATCAAGTAAGTATATAAACATATGTCTTTATCGCTACTATATATACACACGTAGTTATTAAGCATATATGCTCTCTCTCTCTCTGTAATTAGGATGCAGAAGGTGGTGAAGATGAAATCCAGGTTGTTGAAATTGTGGCTGATGATAATACTGTACAATCAAACAATGATCACGTCGACATTGATCAAAGTACTCATCAGCAATGCCTACAAATTAGTGAAGAGATTGTGAAGGAGAAGAAGTTGGATTGGAGTGATATTCATGATGTTGACAAGGGAATTCATGTTGGAGATAATTCTGGTCGTCACATGCTGATCTTCACAGGGTACATCATCCGACAATTGGTATGCAAGGAACCAACTATTTTTCTCCTTGCAATTGCTGCAATGTTGTCGTTTGTCTTTGGAATCAAAGAAGAAGGTGTGCAGAATGGTTGGTTTGAAGGAGCACTTCTGGTTGTGATTGTTTTGTTTAAGTTTGCACGAAATTGGTACAAGAGACACCTTTGGAAGAAGCATAAAGATTACAAAGAAAGGAAGAATTACCCCCTGTTCATTTCTGAAACGGACTCCAGCTTTTGTGCCTGTTTTGACAAGTTGAACAATTATATACATATTAGGGGGTTGTTGATTGGCATTTTGATCACTGTGGTGCTGTTCATTCGCTTTAAATTGGGCCATAAAGATGACGAAAATGGATATAGATTAGAAACCAAGGAAGAACCAGCTGAAATTGCACAGATAATGAATGCCGTGAAAAAGGTTTTAACAGAATCAAAGGGAACAGTAAGAGTTCTGATAACTTTACTTGGTGTCACACTGGTAGGGGTACCATTTCTTATTTCAATTACAATGGCATATTGGTATCCGAATTTTGATGTTAAAATGGAATCAGTCAACACCCTATGTATAGAAAATGTTGGCTGGTTGAAAGAGCAAAAACTGGAAGTTAGTCAGTTTATGCTTGACAAAAAATATGTTACCAAGAGCAGTTGAAGAAAAGAGGAGAAGTGGTGGCCGTGGTAGGAGAGCAAACATTTGAAAGTAATGTGGTTCTTGA